TGGTATCTCGTGATTAATACCTTAATTTATTTATTTTTTATTACTGAATTCATTCTAATCTTATTTTAGAATCAAACAGTTATATTGAATATTKATATCACAAATGTAAAATATCCGTTTTTAATAGTGTAAATAAGAGCTACATAATAAAATAATGTATTCCGATATCATTTTAAATTAATTATTGAATAAATATGTAAGATACATTAATTCTAAATAGATAAAAATTAATATTTAATAATAAATATAATCAAAATATTTAYAATGTATAAAAGTAAACTTTTTGTCGGACAACAATATCACTTAAATAAAATCTATTGTGAAAATTGTCATAAAAKATATGTCAGCATTAGTACATTTTTAATGAGAATAGACACATATGTTTTTAATTTCTTCCCAGTATAAACCGAATATAAACAAATTTAACGCTCATTTGTTTAGAAAAAAAATATTAATTTATTAAACACCAACATAATAATATATAAAYATATTTCTTAACTCACCGAATACCGAATGAACACGAACAGTATTGTAGATTGTACAATTTCCACATGTTACGTTCGTTAACATCATATTGCTAGATAGGTCGTAAATATTTTTAACTGTCATCAACGATAAACGGACTGTATGCTCAGACATGAACACGATCTCATCGTGTTTATGGTCATACACAATGGCTTGGCGTAACAAAATAATTCATWAATATTTTAATTTCAAATATTTAATAAGTAACCAGAACATAAAAAACAACTAGAACTTAGATTATTATTGTTATATTTATATTATTATTAGATAGTATCTAAAGCCGTGATTACAATATTAACACTATATCACGGTACCTATTAAAACTTATTTTTGATGACAGAATTTTTTTAAATCCCTTAAATTTGAATTTAGGTATTTTTTTTCCATTTTCCATTTACAATTATTAAATTATTAAAAATAAGTACATTTAAGTATACTTCGGCCATTTATTTAGTACAGTAGAATATGTTACCAAAAAACAGTACTGTCCTTATAAAATAAGTACGTCTGGTTACCAAAGATATAATATGCTATCGCAGTATCGCTAATACTATAGTATAGATGAGTTGGGACAAAAACYCAGGAAAATAGACATTGTTTTATAATGAAAATAAATATTAGTTAAACAACATATTATTATTTTGATTTGTCAATGTATAATATATAATATATATACATGTATATAATTTTTATATGTAAGCCCTCCCCCCCCACATTGAAAATAGCTGTGTACGCCACTGCTATTACTTTTTAATTTAGCCTATCTTCTGACCATAGGTCTAATATATGTATATCTCTGTTCCAAGGGGCGGACTGACACGGCGGGATGTCCGCGGGTGTTTCCTGATGACTTGGACCGATTATTTATGTTCATGTTTATTATTATTATTATTATTATTATTATTATTAATATATAATAATAATATGAAATTATGAAAAAAAAATGTTCCTTCGATTGATATTTATAATGCAGTGTGYAGTGTTTAGTAAGTTTTTACATTTTAGTTAACTATATTTATGAGTATCTTCCAGAGCTTTATAGTACTTAGTATTATTAATAAATAATCTAGGTACCGGCTAAGTTGAATTACGTTTTCAAACTAATTCCAAAACAATGATGACAACACCACAATGTTCATATTTATCTTTCGTATTTTGACCACCATCGTGGCATCGTCTATTTTTATATTTTATATAAATATAAAAATATAATCCACTTAACAGTCAATACGACAATCTAAGGACTAGCCACAGTTAACAGTATACGGTATACCAGCTAGTASCTAGTGTGAAAATTCAAAATATTATAAACTTTATAATACAAAATAAAAATRAATTAGAGTTCCAGAAAACATTCAAGAGGTGCTTGACGAGAACGCGAATAAAATGTAAAAAACTGCTATTATACTCAATAAAAAGTATAAAAAAAAATAATCTTTTTTTTAAGTGAAGAAAATGATTCAGAAACAGCGGAAACTCTAATCTCTAAAACCAATAGTGCATCTGGTCCAGGAGATCAAAATTCAGGTACACAAATTACAAACATTTTGAATAAATAATATGAGCCAAACATGAACCAAAACAGAAATAACTTATTTGGTTATTTATAACAAAAATATTTTAAAATATCATATTCTTGAAAATTTGTGATATATACGTTGTACCTTTTAACTATATCATATATTAATTATTAGCACGAATTAAATAAATATTTAAATTCGTTGTTATTAGTATTTACTATTTACTATTTACTATTTAATATTATTATTATTAAACTATGCCCGTATGTTGCGATATAGAACCGTATACCTATATTATATATTTAATAAAGTTATTTTAATTGAATTATTCTGGTTAATAGAACAAGAATTAATTTTAATTTCCTTTTTTAGTAAATGTTTATGCAATATGCATCAGAAATCAATAATTATTTTATTTATAATTTAATTATTTTTTTAAAACAACGTTACTTAATAATTAATAATGATATTAAATTAATTTACGCCCATTTATTTTCCATTTAATTTTATATTAATTATCTTTAAAGTATAAAAATTATATAYTCAAAACTGTTTTATGATCAAGTACAATTTTTTTTCATTGTCCGTGTTATGAAAATTTAAAGATTAAAATTAATAAGTTAATTTCAGTGTTTTATAAAACTGAATATTCATTTACAACAACAAAAATTAAGTGAGTGTAGTAAAACTTGTGTCTCTGTTTAAGGTTTAGGTTTAGGTAAATTTTTTATATAAATATAGTGTATACTTGTTTAAAAAAATAACCCCATTTTTTAGGTAAAAACTAACTGGCCTTCCTAAAACATTTTCCTGTCCTGAAATATTATCCCAGTTCACCACTGTCTGTACCAAATTTCGTTATAATCGGTCCAGGCGTTTAGGAATACATAAAAGACAAACATACTACTAAAGTGCCAATKCGTCATAGAATTTTCTATCCACGGAAATAGTTTTACAGGTTTTTAAATAGCAAATTCATAAATTTCTTATAAATTCTAAAGTACTGACTTAACCTATGAACTTTCTAAAAAWTTTATATAGCATCCCTCGATAAATGGACAATCCAACGAAAAAATAATTTTTAAATTTGAACCAGTAGTTCCTGAGATTAATATAATAAATAATAATAATACGTTATTAATATATTAATACGTTCCAACTGTTTTAGCTATTCAGCTTTATAATATTAGTATAGATTGCAATAAGTTGTTAATTATGAATTTTTAAACAAATTTTATTTTTATGATTATCATATCATGATGAATATTTTAAAAGACATATTCATAACAATAGAAGACCTTCGATAAATCTTTATGACCTTAATAATAAATTGGTAATACTTCGCTAATATTTAATTACCTAAAAAAAATATTTTAATATATTAACACAACAGTCAACAATAAACTACTTAATAAATATTAACAATATTTATAAAATATGAGAAGTGAAATCATTTTATATAACTTCTACTATAATCTACTTTATACATTTAGAAGTAATGTCATATTTCTACCTAACAAATATCGATAGTAATTGTGATTTTGGTATACACGCACACAATATGTAATAAAATATAATTCGTTCCTCGTCTATTTGATCATTTAAATGTATTGGTAACGAACTGTTATAAAAAACAATATTTATAATTAAAAACAAGCCGTTAATATTATTATACAATAGGTGACACATACGACATACTATCAAGATTTGTTTCCTAAGAACAGTTCAAAATATAAACTAATTCTTAACAATATTGTGTCGTTTTAAAAACATTTTTGATTGTTATGAGATGCCCCTAATTGTTCCTAAATTGGTCGTAGAAAACCACAAATTTAGGCCATGGACTTTGCTTTGCCTATGAATATATAATATTATAATCTATTACGAATATCAAAATAAATTAATCTGATATAATATATTCAAAATAAATAGGTATATAGTACAAATATGTGTAATAAATATTAAATACTTACACATATACTGAGGACTTAATGCATTTTGAAAAACCTCACGATGAAATGAACGCAATAAAACAATGGACATTTTTAGCAAAGCGGTAATAGGTGCAGTTTAAGTACTTTTATAGGCTCTCAAATATTGGAGCATGTAAAAAAAAACATACACGAGTCTCGTTCATCATTCGGTCCGTATTATATTGTCTTGGAAATGTCTATTGCATCACATGCCACACGCGTTTAGACCACTGTGGCGCTGTATGCCCGAAATTGGAATGACTCGACCTGTTACGGTTCTTTATAGTCTTCCTGTGGTTTAATCAGATGATTTATATGCAAAGTTGTTACTTAATATACTGTAGTGTGACCTTGCTAACAAAAGTGATAACAATATCAATAACATTGTCCGTGATTGTGATACGTTTGCAATAGGTAAATAAGCTATATAGCTCTCTTTCACGCGGTCTATTTGGTCCTAATGTAACCCACTGCACAATACAACACAMAGGTGTACTACATAATCATAATTCGGGTTTCTAACAGTTAACGATTTTCGATTGTTCGTTATATTAGTCATCACTTGATCAGTTAYAAAAATCAAACAGAAACGTGGTGACCATCCAATTATATGTGGAAAAATCATTTATATACGCCTCTGCGGGCTTATGTAACAATGTAATATTCTATAGCTAGGATGCAACGTATTACGTAGGTATACTTATATCGTTTAGGTAAAACGACTTTTTTATAACCCGGGTATAGTTTTTACTATATACCTGCCTGCAGTAATATTTTTCTACTAATGTCTACTATATAGTAAACTACTTTGACTATGAAGTTGCGTTATACGTACACCACTGGCATTCACATCTGCACCATCGATTTACTATCGACCATGATGTTACGACCGTTTAAAGAATGCTGTCCAAAAAGAGGATATTCCAAAAGTTTGGAATAAAAAATTGGTTTATGTAAAGTAATAATAATAAATGTATTACCTCTAATAATATTTTATTTTATTCGTTGAAATTTTATGAACATTCACATTAACTATAATATAATTAATAAATATAGAACCACGGTCATTACAGTGTTAAGTGTTTTAGGTAGATTTTTATAGTTGACGCAAAGATGTATAATATATGAAATAGACATTCGTGCCGTGGTAACTCTGGCCAGTATTGGTATATAATATACTCGTACAGGGTGCTGCTTCTGTTATATCATCTCTCATGGATAATAAGCGTATGGTGAAGCGAAAGTCTTGGCGACGTATGGGTAAGTAGCGTAAGACGATACGGCGCCGTACGGGTGATGAGAAGCAACGTACGGCGYGGCGGCGTACGGGGAAGCGACATACGGTGATGCTGCGTATCGCGGAGCGACGTATGGTGACGCCACGAACGGTGAGGCCACGTATGGTGATGCGGCGTATGGGGCGGCCAAGTAGGGCGAAGCGTACAGGCCACGCTTATTGCGGTCTCCAGCGGCGGCGGGAGCGGCCGATTGGGACGATTGTTTTGCAGACTGTTCGGCGGCGTAGGTAGATACGAAGCACATGGCGACGGCGAGCAGGACGAAAGATACCTGTAAAAACACGATAAATTAGGTAGTTGCGATTAGAACAAGTTTTCAAATACGTAAGTACGTAAATTAAATCATTATAAGAGAAATGATAAGTGTTTCGTCCAGACCTTAGATCATATACTAGTAAATGATCTAAGGTCCAGACGAATAGATATACGAGATAGATACAAACAATATAGATGCATGATGCTTCTAAGAAGTTTTTCAAAGGTGTATTTGAGAGTACAATAGGTTGAAGAGTGATTGTGTTAATAAAACACTTTTAGCAAGAAATTTGTGCATCGMAATTACATTATTACGATATAATGATTTAAAATCGATAAAAACAGATTGTTCAATTTATTATTTAGTAGATCAAAAATGTCTATTTAGGTTTGTATCTCAAGTTACAATATTTTCTACTTAAAATTTGATATTTTCTAATTGAACCCAAAAATAATATCATCAGGCTACACCTGTAATTATAACATATTAATTACTAATGTTATTAATATTACTTATACTTATATATGTATTATTAATTTTTATTGTAAAATGTAGAATTTTATCACATTAATGTATCGAGTATCTTTCGATAAAATTATTTAATGTAATACCTATTTGATACTTTGAATAAAAATGTATAGCGATACACAACTGTATCTAAGATACTGCCTAACCGTGCCTGTAAAACTCATTCACATATTAATTTATGCATGAAAGTGCATCGAATATTGAACCTTTTTACCTGCACTCTCGCGTTATCTAAAATTCCTACTCAGAGTTTCTTATAAAAATATTGTTATTCTACCACAACAAGTTAAACATAAAAATGATAAGTWATATAATTTAATTCTATAATATAATGCATATTATATGCCTAAGCTAAATTAAACTATTATAACAATTGTACAYTGTGCTTAAAAATATTGATTTTATATTAACATTCAAATTTTATACTTCGAATAGCTAGGTACCTATGTATCTTATGACTTATTCGAATCTACCTAACGAATACATGTAAAGTATCACTTACTTGGAATTGCATTTTGATTGTGTTTGTTGTTTGTTGCTTGTTTGAAAATATGACTTAAGAGGCTCGTATGTCCACTATAATCGAATGACGAACTGATTGACCTAAGTCCATCGGTCGTTTTATATAGTAACATTCGACCATGTAACGCCCAATTGTCATTCAGAGTACAATATTCCTACGTCCTAGTTACCACACATCAGTTTTGATGCCAAATAAAATAACAATTGAATTATTATAATGTTTTTATACAACAGCACAATAAATTGTTTTTTTTTATTCTGTTCTATAATCACCACCCTTTCAGTATATACTTAATTCTAATATTCAGTATTCACCATAACTCATAAATATCCTTGACGACGAAGAGGGTTTTGTATCTCTATATATGGATGACCCTACACTCTTCAATCTATACATCGTCATTTATATGTGGCAATGCGAATATTATTGAAAAATGTTATTCATTATTTTAATGAATTATGCATTTTATGACAATACTATTATTATAATATCAACGTATGACATAAATTGTCTACAGGCCTTGATCATAATACCTATTATAGTTGACCTCAGTGCTGGATTTCATTCGGTTGTCGAAAACTATAACAGCTGCGGCCTATACGGAGACATGCGAGACTAATGATAAATCATCAGATCGCAAAAAGATTATTATTTTTATATATTATACAAAAAAAATTAAACGCTCATGAAAAAATTAATATCTTACCCAAAAAATTTAATATAATGCACTYTGCATCGATACGATTCAAAAAAATTAATAGAAACAAACAGGTGCTTCTTAGTTTAATGTTGAATATCATTTTATACACAAATTTYCTATTTAAATTTAAATTGAATCAGACCACTGTATAATTGGTCCATAATAAAGCATTTTGTGTAAATTATTATTTGAATTGTTTAAAGAATTTTTTATTTTGAAATTATTGCGTTGTTATACTTGTTAATATAAATATTAACAAGTTATTGATTTTGATACATGGTTTTCCATTAGAACCTCTCTCGTCCGCCTTCGACTGGTCTGCCACTACGGTTGATCCGACCATTATATAGTATTATCGATATGAATAATTTWAAAAAAAATATGGATTTTTCAATTTATAGTAGATTTATAAAATTAATTGCCAGCTTAATATTTCCAACTAAGACTAAAGCATTATTTTGATTTCAAACAAATAACTATAGAAATTTTAAATTTACATCGTATTATGTTCATTTTATAAATTCCTATACTTGATARCATTTTCAAAATATTTCAAATTTKTATAAGTTATTTATAGACATTTTAAGTTTTGTATTCTCTAAATGTCAATACAATTTTATTCGTTGGGTCAAAAAAGCTAAAAATTTTAATAAATGGTTCCCCATAAGTTGATATAATATCAATTAGAAAATAATAAAAATACATATAGGTACGTTTTAGTTAAAACTTTGACAACATTTATGTAATTSAAAATTGATAAATTATTTGTTGTTAAAAATTTATAATACCTTTAACTTTTATAGCTAAGGATTGAAAATTTAAAACAATGTTTCACATAAGTAGTGAGTGAACTCTGCAACAAGAAAAATCTAATAACCATACAAACACAGTTTAAAAAAAAAATTATATTAAGTTCAAATTTGGATGAAATTACATGTTAAATAATCAAAAATATTATTTGTGAGTATTTGAAATTTCTAGAGTATACTTTATATTCTAATTGCAATAGCTAATCAGTTAATGTCATCAATGATTTATATTGACTGTATACTTTATAGTGTATTGTAAATACCATGAATGAGTTGGATACATAATGAATCAGATTTGATTAATTTGAAATTTATTTTATAGGTACTTACATTTTTTTTTTTAATTATAACAATATAATTAATATAGTATAAAATATCGTAAAATGACAAACCGTCTCCACTCAGAATCGTTTTTCGTATACAATTACATTATATTATTGAATTCAAATTTAATACCATCCATTACAATAATCCACTTGTAACCTACTGTAGGTACAGCAGAGCGACATGCCGACATGCACATAAGTACTTACCAGCTGTTTGATATGAACGTGTTTTCAACTGTTTTGTCACACCAAATTGATAAAGAATCTCTAGAAACTCTAAGTTAAAATTTAGCACCCCTTGTCTATTTAGGACTAAGTCTACTATCATTATTATATAGTGAAATTCCATTAATTTTATGTTTTTAAATTATAAAATGTAAACCGAAAAWTTTTTTTGAAATTTTGGTCATAAGTCATGATATTAATTCGTTATAAACTATTACATAATATATTTGGTATTCWTATAATTKTTTGACRATCAGCACACATTACTGAGAAAATGGATTTATTGCTTATAAGCTGGAAATTTTTCGCCAATATTGGTCACATTAAAAAAGGACTATACTGATGTATCTATGGCCTTCGCTGTATAAGTATTATTTATGGGTAAACTCACGAGATTTATATTAATTAATCGTTTAATCGTTCAAATCTTTAAAAAAAATAGATTATTTATAAAAAGAGTATATTATATATAGGTACGTACTACATTTATATTTTGCTTTTATCAATAAAATGAAGTGAGTTAAAATGTATAGGTAATAGGTATAATTATAATATGTTTTCATGTATCAACTATTGTATAAAAATCTATTTATTGAAACCAGTTATAAATAATATAAAAATATAAATTATAATTATATTAGTAGAGGGTAATGTCAAGGTATTGATTGGTCCTCCGCGGATTCTCTTGGTCTGTGTCCGCAGCATCTCGTTATCCACCGCGTCATCTCCTTGTTAGCCACAGCTTCTGTTTATTAGCGCAGCATCCCCTAGTCAGCCACGGCGTTTCTTAGTTGGCCACAGCATCCCTTTGTTGGCCACAGAATCTCTTTGTCAGCTGCAGCATCTCCTAGTCAGCCACGGCTTTTCTTGGTCAGCCACGACATCTCCTTGTTGGCCACAACTTCTCCTAGTTCTCCTAAAAACCGTCCGACATTTCTAGATTTYAAACGWGCTGCCACGTACTGAGAAATTYCCTTTATTTTAAGTTTACCTATAACAGCTGTGATTTTTATAATAATAATAGTAATAACAAGTTTATTGTAACATCAACAATTTTTAAACACAATAATGAATTAATAATAATATAAATGCTATATTATTTAATTAATACGTGTACAATAATAATTATTCAACCAGAAATATGCGATCTTCGTATTTGCGACGTGTCATTTGAAGGGAATCAATACTGAATACTGTTTTATCGCCATTTACACGTGCTAGAAAATACAAAATTATTGAATTGTTTTAAAATTACTTTACATTTGTACCTACCTAATCAGTAATCAGTATTATAATAACTCTGATTTAGTAAAATAATTTGTACTACTAATTATGTCCTACTAAAAACTAAACTATAAAATAAAAGATATATTGAAAGAATGRAAATTAACATGTYCCTTATACTTAAAAATAATAAAAATATTATTTTTACTATTTATCCAATATTACAGTATTTGAACGAGGGAAAACTGAATCCAATAACCCTGCTTACATAGTGACAACGTATCTTTAATTTATCCACACACCCGTGCACACTCTGAACAGATATTTCTGTTGTTACCAACTGTTTAGTTAATCTGTCCTTCAATATTAATTATTATTCATTTAGTATTCATTTAGTATTTAGTATTTACTATTTTTTTTAATTTTGAAACATTATGTTTAATATTTATTTTACATTTATAACGGTAATAATATTAACCTAATTAATAGTAATATTACTAATTATAGTTACAGGATTACTCTACAAACTCAACTTGTTCAATTTATTATGCATTAACTGAACCTYTAAAATTTAAAATTAGATAATTTATTTTCAATTGAAGGGACTGAGGGAGTATATACCTAAGATGGAATTGATCCCATTCAATTAAATAAGTAAATAACATTTACAGATGAAATTCAAAATTGTACCTACATATCTATTTTAATATATTATTTCGGAATACTTTTGAATTGTCTATCTATTTCTCACGAAACAAAGTCTGAAAGTCTGAATTATAGCGTAGGTAGTAGACACATATTTCGTGTATATTTAATGTTGTGATTCTAATAGAATAAAGACCACATATGTTATATTAAAGTAGTCGCTACTTAAAAATATACACACAATATAATAACTAATAGCAATAATTTTATTATAGAGAACTTGATGCGAATGATACGACTGCAACCATAGCACAAGATTGTTGAGGCCTATGGCAGTATGGCCGATGTCCCACATCATCCATGATATGGACCTATAGCCTATAGGTACATTCCTAATATAATAATTTCCAAAATATAAGTGAAAAATCTAAAATTCTTAATTCTATGATTAACAATAGTTGAGGATGTTGAGATGTTCTCCACTTAGTAAAACAATAATTTAAAAAATACTGAAACTAGGTATAGGCTATATAGCGTTAAATTAGATTTCCAATGTGCCTTATTACTGACATTACTATAATAGACCTGTTGAAAATTAAATAAATTTAAAATATAACGTTCTGTAATAACGTTAATCGCATTCGATGTACCTACTTATTAAAATACCATAAAAATCATACCTWATCGATATTTTAATATTTAGAAATTATTATTAATTATCGTGCATAGAATATAATAATATACGTCAGTATTCAATATATATTAATATTATATTAATAAAATTATATTATTAGCATCGGTGATTAATATTTCTTAAATCACAATTAAATAGGTACCTAACTAAAATCATTAGAGGAAAATTTCATTGTAATTTTTTCATTTTTGTTTCAATATTCATATAATCTTATCGAAATATTAACCTTCAATGTGTACTTGACAGTTTAAAATCACTGTAAAAAAAAAAAAAATGTATAAAAAACTTTTTGTATTTTTCAGCTTTTTGACCAAGAAAAAAATTGATCCAACCTCCCTCTAGCAAATCTATAAAATTCTTTCTACATCACTAATTTTTCGGATAAACTTTATATCTATTCATATTATATAACATAATAATATATACTGAATTCCAAACGTGAACGCGAAAACGTTAGTGTAAGTGTAGTATATAATATTTTTATTATTATTATATATTTTTTTTTTTGGTGGGGGATGTCGATTATACATTTTACCGATTTTACTCTATAAAAACATATCTTATTATYTTCCTGAAATTCCAGGGGTTGGAGTGAACCCTTAATACCCTCTTGTGTACGGGCCTGTGGTATGTACACATTATACATTATTAATTATTAAAAACAAATTTTACTAGTAATTTGTTTGGTATTTACATTGAATTTGTTAAATCTTAAAATAATATAATGTGATTCACACACAACGAGTCCAAATTAATCCTTAATGTGTATTGTTATTTAAGCGCGTACGTGAAGAGAATTGTGACAATGTTTTTTAAATATTTTACTGTTATAGGTCAGGTTAGGTTAGGTATCAGTGGTATAAAAAAAGCTTATCTGAAAAAATTTATAAATCGTATGACTATAATGATTTTGTGATATTTTAAACTTGGTCTAAAGGTACAGACTCGCGAGAAGCGCGACCTCTCACGGTTCGATGTCAGTGAATACGAAAGCATCGCAATCGCGACAGATAGCGCTTTCGAGAGACACGAACGGTACGGACCTGATTCTCGACAGACTAAGGGTCACTGGCACCAGGTCCTAATCGCTAGTCCTGTGGCCGGAGCTGCTGTGGTGTTGGCTTTAATGTGTGGCCGTATTCGGAGGTTCAAGAGTTTGGAGGTGACTCGCGAGGGTCATGTGCTGTCTCGCTTGGACGGGAATACTCCGTGGTCGTGATCCCGGATACAGTCACTTAACCACTGCCGGAATTCGTACAAGGTGGTCCGTACGGTCGCTTCCAACGGTGGAGGTTTGATTGTGCGGATCCTCAACCTAACCGATAATCTCGTCCGGAGAACGGACTTGATTAAGCGTGTGTCCGGAGATTGGTGTTGTCTGAGGGTCGTGGAGTGCGGTATCGTTGGGCATTCYAAGTCCCACGGTRCTATCAACCCAGGCTCCTTTAATACTAATACTCGGATACGCGCGTGGTGGTTAAATCCCCCCCAAACGTCGACACCCGGTTGAGTCACTTCAGTTGGCTCCGCGTCGGTTCGTCCGATTCGTGGCTACGTGTGTACCGCTGTCGGGTGGTCGGCGACAGAGCAAAATCCATTAGCGCCTCGGTAACGCTGTTGCAGTCAAGTTTTACTGCATTAGCATCCGGCGAGGCGTACACATATGAAACTAAAGTTAATATAACTGACATCTGAAGTACCAAGAATGTGCTTACTGTACGGGATTTCGTTACATTACTAAAATTGAAATTTATTAGTAGTGACGTAAAATATGAACAACAAATAACATTAAAACACACTTAACATGCATTTTAAAACCTTCATTAAGACCACACTTATAAAGAATAATAAAAAAATAAACAGAGTTGAGCAAGATACTCAAAAAGCAGTATTGAGATACTCGTTAATCGATACCATTGAATAAAATTAGTCACAGACTTTTTTAAAAATGACTAACCAATAACCATGTAATATATTAATAATAAAACAAGATTCAATTCAATGTACAATCCACCAATATATTATAATATCCAATACCATATTATGATTTATCGGTAACAGATTGAAAAATAATTTCCAATAGCCTAGAGAAAATCACCTGTGACTAGTAAAGTTGTATATTATATTTATTATTATTTTTTTTTTTGTGGGAAAATGCACATCAATGTTGAGGCATCGACAGCAAGGGTAATTAGCCTATGAAACTGTGTGGAAGAGAACTGTTGGTTGGAACACGTGGGTGAGGATATTTATTATTTATTTTTAGAGTAAAAAGCAGAATTTTATCGCATTAACGTATTGCAATACAAGATACTCAATATTTCATGTATAAGGATTGAGATACAAGAAACAATTGTATCTWAGATACTGTCCAAGCCTGTATGTATGACTCATAATAACACATATTAATTTATGCATAAAATCGAAGATGAACCCTTTTACATTCCATTCTCACATATTAGGAATTCCTACTTCAAATATAGTTTTTAAACATTTTCTTTCTATTACAAGAATTAACTAATGTAGTTAAATAGTATAAAATACAYATTATATACCTAAATTAAGCTATTGTAACAATTGAATAGAAAATACAATGTTTACTTTAAATTAATACTCGAAAGTACAATAATSTAAACACAATTTTATAACATTTAAACACCATAAACATAAGAACAATAAATAATTTATTAATTTAAGCTCTGATTTTTAAGTAAATTAAAAATCATTGATGAATTAAAAATGTTGTACTTTAGAAGATTTTAAAATAACTGAGTAAGGCATTGAATACATTAAAAACAAAAAATAATAGAATGTAACCAACAATAACTGAGATCTTTGTTCATGGTTATGACATTTATTAATTATTAGTGATAATTAGAAAACAAATCAAATATATAAAATAAATTACTAAAATCTAATAGAAAATAATAGGCAATACTGTTTTAAAACAGTCTAGGTATTATAATTTCAAATATTTTCTAAAAAAAATAATTTGATAATCAATGTCTGAATAATTGAATCCATAAATATAATTTAATAACAATGTCAAATACAATATCAATATTTAAGAATAAAAATAACACATTTAGAAAGACATTTACAGTGATATTCTGTCCAGATACATGTCTTATAAAACTAGAGATATCTTATTGATTATTCAGAGCTATTTAAGCAATACATTTTTATTACACAAAATAAATTATATATGGTYATTGGTCAGTGGTGCCATTTACTTCTTTGAGATGCTGCGTCTGTTAGAGGAACGTAGATTACATCCATCAGCTTTTTCCTGGATACTGAACCATCTAATTTTTTATCAATCACTTCCAACACTTGGTCTCCATTATGTGGCCCGATTGGTAATACAAGACGCCCACCAGGTTTTAATTGATCAATTAACTAATGAAATACAACACATAATTAAGAATAAAATAATATATTTAAATCTTCTTCTTAGTTAAAACATGAACATTTTATAAATATATTAGCTTTCAGCATGGTATGAGTAAACTATATTGAMACACAGTAATTCATTAAAAAAGTAAAATTTAAAAATGACAAAAAAACTAATTAATAATAATAGATATATCATTAGAAGGATGTTGTAGGCCACAGATTCCCAAACTTTTCAACTATGGGGCATTTTTTAAGCAGTGTTTCCTAGTGGCACCCAAAGAAAGTTTACTATTTTTAATAAGCTTTTAGTAGGAATACTATGATACCTCTACAATTAAACAACAAGATATTTACAACTAGTACAAATAAAATATCCAACAATATTAGTATTACTAAAGTAAACAGATAATAAATAATAAACATTAAGTTTTGTCTGCCTGTGTTYCATGAAGCATATTACACATGATGTGTATACAGAAGTAAGAATAATAAGGTAATTATTAATAATTGAACAATAGTAGGTTTTAATAGAAGTATGGAAAATATTATTATTTATTACTTTTTTAATTTCAAATGCATTTTAAGTATCAATGATATTATGAAACTAAAGTATTAATTTATTGTTAAATTTTCATTATAATACATTAATTATAATTATATATTACAATAATTTGTTTTAGGTACCATACATTAAAAATAATTGTAAGTCTTAAGTCACATAATAAGCAAATAATCTGGTTAAAAATTTAATTCAAACCCGGATTAGGATATCTGGAAAATTCAGATAATTCAGATACTTGGATTTAAAGCTCACCTCTAATCAGAACTTAAATCTATGATCTTATATAATATTCTTTCTTATATTATTATGATTAAGAAGATATTATATCTGTGTTATCTCCATCTTACAAGTGGGTAACATAGAAAATTTTAAGCTCAGCAGATCACGTTATAAGTATTTTAAGATGCACAAAATATTCACAATTTTAAAATATTTGTAACTCGCTTCAAAATTAAAATATGGTAAAAAGCTCAAGCTCATGATGTCGTCTAAATAATACTCTTATCTGTAAATTTWAAAAGAGGTGAATCCATTCAATTTTTTAACTAACGGAGCTAAATGTGATCTACTGAATGTAAAATTTGTTATGATACCCACTTGTAAGATGGAGATAACAAATGCGGATATTACATCATCTTAATATTGTTAATTAATCACTAAGCCGGAGTTAATAAATGTAAAGTATGGTAATTCCATAATACGAGTCCCAGAGTCTACTTTTTACAGTTGTATCAATAATTATTATCACGCCCCAAGAGGAATGCAATTAAAATATTGGAGTCATAATAAATATAAAAAATGTTTATACATCAATATAATTTGTTACAAACATTATTTTAGGCGCAAAAAGTGTAATTATAATCATAAAAGAGTAACCTTACCAATTTATATTATAAGTAAAATAGTAGTTAATAATTACTTGTCTTTTAAGTGTATATCAAAAAAAAAAGATGTACATTTATAGACTCAAAAACTAAAATATGAAAATACCTGTTATACTTTTATAAGTTTCAAAAAAAATAAAAGGAGAAGCACAAACACTGRTACCAAACAGTAATTGCAATCAGAAATCTAATATTTTAGRGTGTGTTTATTTTACAATTACAACAGTTTTCAACAAATAGATAATAGCAGTTGTTAATACTCATTAGTTATGATTGTTATTTGTTATTGGAATATTTACCGGTTGCGGAATTTTTTCAGCAGCAGCTCCAACATGTATTGCATTATATGGCGCATATTTTTCTAATCCTAGTCGTCCATCTCCAGCTGTAACATTAATATACTTTTATTAAATTCATAAAAACTAAATTAAATGCATTCTGATATTTTACTTTCTAATATCACTCTCTGGGAATTCAATAGTTCTGGATTATCTTTTTTAACATTTTCTAAAGATTTTTCAACAAGTTCAGGAATATGATCAATGCCAACAGCTTTACCATTTTCTCCTAACATTGTAGCCATACAAGCAGTTAAATATCCAGATCCAGAACCAATATCTAAGGCTCGTTCCCCTTCTACTAATTGATCTTTCAAAAGTTCCAAAGCGTATGCATGCTAAAATTATACAATATATCAAGTTACTTAAATAGATATACACAACATTTAACATATTATTTTAAATTACTTCTACAACTATAAGTTTATATAATGTAGAATAATATACTATATATTAATATATTTTATACATCATAAGATGTTCTTGCATCGATAAATTCCGTTTCTTTTAATACTAAAATAAATATATGGATAGCTTGCTTGACCTTTATTGAGGGGATTGTTGAAAGTGATATGAAAAATTTCAATATTCTTTCAGAGTTATTTAACATTTAATTTAAATACACATTATATTATGTCTTATATAATACCATATGAGGTGCACTGATTGTAACTCCATAGCCGATACTTTGTGGTTGATCTAAATATGGTGATGTTGACACATAATTTCCCCTATCAACAGCTTTCATTATTTTTTCTACTTTATCACTTTTAATAATATTGTTAGCTGAAAAAATGAAAATGTTAAGACATAATTAATATTTGTAGGTAAGTGAATAATATGCAATACTAAAACTCTATCTAGAATGAGGGTATATAAATGTCCATATGAACTGATAATAGATGGGAGCATTGTGGCGTGTTTTTATCTAGAGCTTTGTGTAATATTATTTTAAATAGAATAAAGTAGGGTAACTAATTAAGTTTTTAAAATATTTTAAAAAACTCTATAGTTATTTAATCCAATCAATAATACCAGTATTTCAACCAAGAACTGTTATAACTATAATACCCTGTTAATTGATTCGTTTAAATTCTAAGATGAGACTGGTCATAAATTTAAGAAATTATAGTTCAATTTTTTTTAAATTTAAAAATTCAAAATACATATAAGTATTATGTTCTATGTATTAAGAGTATGTATACTTTAAATGATGAATGATAATATATGTACAAAATACATAAAATAATTAAAAATAAATCAAGGCAATTTTGTTGGTATGCTAAATTGAATTAAAATTACTGGAACCATCAATAAGTAATAATATTATAATTTATGATAACTACCTATTTACCTCGTAAGTTTTGTACAAGTTCAACATTATTTCTACCATGAGATCTCCACGCCATTTGGAACTCTTTTGTATTTTAATATTCCTAGTTCCAGATGCTAGTATCAGAGTGTTCAGTGTCTGTGTGTATTACGTTTTAGTCTGTAAAACTGTAAAATAGTTATAAGATATGGTGTAACTTTTTGGGYCGTTTACTTACTAATGAGACATAGATTTATTTTTCCTATGCACAATGCATGATAAATAAGGATTGTTGATTATAAATTGTTATGTTTGATGCAACACAGCGCTATGTGTGCTAATATCTAATGCAGTATGCACTAATGTCTAACGTAACATTAATATTATTAATTATTATTAATTATACTAGAATTAGTAGATGTAGAGTACTAGAGTAGGAATCCTTACATAGTTACAATAGTTACATTAAAGTCATAGATAAGTATTTAAGTTTTTAACATGATGTCACGACTCACGAATTGACAATTTTGAATTTATAAATCATAGAGATCTGAGATTCTGAAACACCGATACCTATGTGCTTGTTTAAGATAGAATGGTTGAGCGACGATTCGTACAATACAATCCCACGACCCACGGGCCACGGTACATTACGGCGGAAAAGTTTCTTATCAAATAAATGTTTTTACTCACTGGATACTAGCGCTTCCAGTGCCAATATGGCCTATCACTAAAATGTTGGCACCAAAAACAATAATCCCAGACGACATTTTACTCATTTTAGTATTTTACTATTTAGTATTTACAAATAAGGCTAAATAAGCCATACCACAAAATAGAAAATAATATATAGAATTTTATTCTGTATGACTGTTAATATACTACAGTATATAGCAATAGTCCTTGCAATAGTCATGCACATAAACAGCGATAAAGGATGCAGATGCTGGTATTAGATTAATAGATTGGAAAGCTATTAAATTACGTGCCAACTAATGCCTCAATTCCGGTGGCGGAAAAATTGTGTGGAGCCAAATTATTTTATCCACAGAGTTTAAGTTATCACGTATTATTTATGATCAGTATATTTTGATAAGATATTTCATAATAATAATATTGAATTGATTAGAATRATTATTAAATAATTAATAATTATAACATTTAGAGTATACCACTATACCAGTATACACATTTCTAAATAATATAATAATTTATATTATTAATTATTACCTTATTTTACTGTTTTTTTTAGTCGTATACTTAGTATACTTGGTCAAAACTTGCTTAACTTTGAATAAAACTGATCCAAATTTAATATTTATGACCAAAAATTCCCAATTTATTAAAAATAAATTTTCTTATGTCAAAATGGAAAAGAGGATCTCATAGTTTATCGATCGACTTTCAAAGATACACATTATTATATTATTTTTTTAATTGCACCAATACATGCATTCGTTTCTGCATCCAATGTTGAAACTGTTCCTCTTACAAAAAACAATAAATCGAAAGAGGAAAAATGGCACTACAAAAAAGGATTTTCAATAAAAACAATTTTTGACTTACTACCTATTACATTTACATTTTTTTATTTTAATATTGAATATGACTCAGTACAGTAAATTTATTTTACTTTTAATTTCATTTGATTAATTTTTACAATTTTACATTTAATTTTTTTAAATATGGGGTGTAATGATAGATCGCTTCCGCGTAGTACACCCTGGGCAACGTCAATGACCTATGAYTAGTTAATTTGACGGCAAAATATCTATCAAACGACAAACTGTGTAATAATAAAATATATTATAATATTATGTATTAATAATTTACAACTATATTGTGTTTAAATAAAATTTTATAGTATGTTATATGTATTCGTAATTTTAAACAACAATATTGTGTTTCTATAAAATCCACGATTTAAGATAGTAATAATAGATACTATCTTAAATCGTGATAAAATCCAAAATACCTATCTTATCAAATAATCTTATCAAAATATACTGATAATAAGCAATACGTGACAACTCTGATGGATAAAATAATTTGGCTCCACCATTGACATATTATTAATAAATTTATTAATATGTCTATGGGCTCCACACAAATTTTCTGCACCGGAATTGAGGCATTTGTTGGCACGTTATTAAATGCCAATATAAAATTGACATTTGTTAAAAAATATTACATTGTAAAGTTCTTCTACGTTTTCAATCATAAAGTATTATGAAGTAGGTACTAGGTATATACTATAAACTAATAATTAATTATTATAATATAGTCACAATATAATCACTCTATTCTGTGATATAGTATTAATTATTATTATTTAATAAATTTATAGAATATCAAGAGTATCGTGGTAATTTAGTAGATCCGAGATCGCGCCACGGGGCAGTGAGTTTTTCATATTTTTGATAAGAAACTCTACCGCCGAAATATTATCAGACCTCGTCACTTAACCATTCCATCTTAAATCGTGTTTCCAGCTTAGATAATATATTATCTAAGATTTCCAGTCCTGTTTATCTTAATCCGTGTGTGTGAGACATGTGGTAATGTTTGTTATCCGTTAAAATTAAAACTTAAGTTTAATTTTTAATATTCTATTTACTCAATTCGTTGATTCAGTATTAATTATTACTATTTAGTATTTACCAATTCACTCGATTCAATAATCAGTTGAGACTTAGTGTTTTGAGAGTATGAGCATCAGCAATTTAAATCTTTAAACATTCTGCTTGTGTCCACCTCTATTTTTGAGTAATCAATCGTGATCAAACACATCGTAGATTTGTAAGTTATTTCTTAAGAAATTTGTTATATACCTTTTAAGTATAAAACCTACATAATRTGAAATCTATAACATTTGAAAATTGTCTGAATAACCTATTTAAAATGATGTTTGTTATGTGCAGTTAAATATAATTCTAATTCTATCAATGATTCTTATTCAAATCTCTATTACAATAATTTTCATCAATATTTCTGTGGTGCTGTTAAAGATCCCTATGAGAATTTCTCCTCCGAGTTTGGTAAAGTTTCATAGAATAATATTTTTATGTAATTTTTATATGTCTTTTACATTATACATATTCTATACAATTACAATTACTATCATTTTAAAAACTTCTTTTATCTATAACTCGTAAAAATACTCTCCAAGTCTTAAAATTTCATGTGGTTACTGAACACCATACCGAATGTGATACACTCAATCRTGGCTGTAGTGGCAYCAATGTACATTTTAGCTAGTGATTTTCAAAAGTTACGTAGGTATCCATTTCCTACTCTCCAACCTATCACATAAAATATATAATATGCATCACCAGCATAATATTATAGGTCCGAGGCACTGGACAAAATTCATAATATTCTGTACCTTAATTATTCCTAGATTTACTGTCAATTTTTTGCAGTTCAAATGAACATCGGAATGAACCGACTGAGTATAATATTTAGTGTTAAAGGCTTACAGCATAAGTTATTACTAAAAATAAACAATTCACTTAGAATTGAACAATTTGTATTAAAATTGTTTTTATGTTTAGAAAATGTCTACATTAGAATCAATATCAATTCAAGGTATAAGAAGTTATCACCCAGATGAAAAACAAACTTTAAAATTCCATAAACCCCTAACATTGATCTTAGGGCAAAATGGTTGTGGAAAAACTACTATAATTGAGTGTCTTAAATATATTACGTGTTCAGATCTACCGAGAAATGCAAATAAAGGTGGTTTTGTTTGGGATCCAAAACTATCAGATCATCATACTGTAATAAACATGTTTTATTTTTACTTATTTTTTTTTTTTTTTGACAGTTAAATATTGTAATTTTATTTGTGTGCCTATATTTAGGTTAAAGGCAATGTAAAACTTTCATTTTATGATACTAAAGATACACGTGTAGTGGTTTCAAAGACTTTGGAATCAACTCAAAAACAATCATCTACGTCTACAAAATCACTCGATCAAACAATTTCTAGAAAAGTTAGTATCTTAAAAATAAATTCGCTTATATTAGAATAATAATATAAAAATAAAAATATCTTCTTTTGAAAGTGAAGAATATGTTTATGCCACTGATTACAAATTGAACAATATTTATAAATTGTTCTTGAGGTGATCATGGACACTCACTGTTAAGTTTTTCAGTTACAAAAGTAGATTACATGTTTGATAAATATTCAATTTAATATGTGTGCATTAAAGTATTAAGCGACATTGATGTGTTTTGTTTTTTGGAGGGGTGGACAGGATAGGTCAACTCATAAATTAGTAATGATCAATTTTATATTGAATTTAAATTAATATAAAGATCTTTGTAATGATAAACAAACGTTTTGTTTTAGTTAAAATATCTGATCTACAGATGGTTTGTTCTGACAACTATTTAAGTAGAATAATCGGCCCCTGGGATAATATGTAGTCATAGGACATTTGATCTCTCAATATTTCAAATCATCGATTAAATTTAAATTAAAATAATTWTTTTTTTTAATGTATAATTTCCATATCATTATTAAATTTAAATTAATTTCAATAATATATTATTTTCATTTTCTTTGGTACATTTATATTCTATAACTTTATTTATCAATGTAGATTATTTGCACATCTATAAAAACTCAATGAAAATATATTTGTTTAAGTGTCTAATTCTTATAATATTTTTAAATTTATTATTAAATCCTTCTTACACATAATTGATTCAACCATAACAAATTGTTCTCCAATATTCTAAAGTCTTAAATAAATTCAGAAAATGAAATTTCTATACTTTGTCCGAAAATGTGTCACTGGCCAACCAAAATTAAGTTTTCTGTGCATCCCTACACAACATCCTGCTATAAAKGACTTGTGTTGWTATCAGATTGACGCAGAAAGAATACCTAAAATTGGCATGTTATATTGTTGATCAGAGTATAGAAAACCATCATGGCTAGTAGTACTACATTGCTCCACTCAGAACCTAAAATATAGGTATATAAAAAAAAAATACTAGAGAACCAAACATCCTATTACTCACGGGGGCCAAATTTCCTACCTTAATAATTTATTTGTTGAAACGTCTGCAATAATTCCATTGTATTTTGTAATTATTTGATTGATTTCATTGRTTATTTATGTTACATATACATCTAGGGGCAGAGTACTTCACACAAATGTGCTGATGTTGATGATGTCATGTGTACTTATTTGGGTGTATCAAAATCAATCTTAAAAGATGTTGTTTTTTGTCATCAAGAAGACTCTAACTGGTATGTTTAAAATGTACACAGTATTAATKAAATGAGGCTTAACATAGCTAAATGCTAATGCCATAATTTTTTATGCATTGGTTAATAAAAAAAAAATCCATATAAATAAAATAAATAATTTAAAATCAAATGTTTATTTCAGGCCTTTAGACGAAGATAAGAAGGTAAAAGAAAAATTTGATTCAATTTTTGATGTTGGAAAATATGACAAATGTATCAAACAAATTCAAACAGAAATAAAGGCTACTCATGGAGGTAAAATTTAACTTAAATCACTGTTTGTGTTACGTCAAAGTTTGTAAATGTTAACCATATGGTTACATTGGTTAAGTATAGRCCATTGAGTTCAGTATACATGTATTCAAAACTGAGTGATTGATTTCATTACTGTGTTG